CCGCCTCCGCCATGCAATGGCAAGTGCAGAGAGGCAGAGGGACTTCAGGTAAATAAGCCATACCAGTGTGATGCTGTGTATAGCAGCATCCAAGAGTGAGGCAGGACCCCCTGCCTCCTCTACTTGAACAAAGCTGTAAAAATAGCACATCTTCACATGTTTCACTGAAATAGGAACATTCAGATTTAGAGCACACCTCTCAAACGAAATAGCAGACTTTATCCGGCACAAACATATAAGGAGCTCAAGTTCTGTTCTCTTGCTTAATATATTTCAGTGGCTACCCACTGTCAGGAGATGGAGTCCCTTAGCTTAGCTGTCAAGGCCATTTACACCCTGGCTGTTGCCCCTCTCTCTAGCTTCCTGTTAGCCTTCCCTATGTCCTGAAGGGCCTCAGCTGGGCTGAGCCACTTGCAGTTCCATGTAGACATCTGGTCCTCTCTGGCCTTTGCTGCTCTCAGTCCCTTTTCTTACAAGCTTGTCAGATCCTAGTCTGTTACATTCAGCAGAGGACTGGTGAGCCTGTGTTCTTAGCCAAGGGTCACTTCCTGAGGGAAAACTCGCAGGATCACAACCCTCCCCTACATTTGATTACGTCCCTGCTCCAGGCTTTCTAAGCCCTATATGCTCTCCTTCCTAACTTCCTGAAGATGTGGTTTTGCCTTGATCTGTGAGTTCTATTGGGACATCACTGTGACTATCTTCACTCCTACTGTGTAACCTGTGCCAAGCTCTATGTCTCCACAAGTAGGTGCTTGATAAATATTTGTTGAATGAGGGAATGCTTCCAACAACCACGACTCTGCCTTCTGAGAAATCTGGAAAGGATGAGTTCTCTGGCTATGTTTCTCTAGAATTTGGAGGAGGGGCTGGGTGGAGGTGAGTATGGTTCCTAGGCTGTTGGAGAGGAAGGACAAAGACTGCATAGGCAAATCCTACCTGCCAATACTCCAGAATCAAATGCATCAGGCAGGTGGGGCTGGTTTGTTCTAAAGGTCATGTGCAAGCAGGGAAAAAGCCTCCCTCTCCCAACCCAGTTGGAAGTCTAAATATTCTGAATCCTCCTCAACCAAAAATCCAGAGAGAAGTGGCCTGAGCCCCTTCACCCCCTTAGTGCTTAGTGGACAACAGAAATACGGGAGATTGCTGTTCTCATCACAGTGACAAAAAGTTGCAGAGGAAACACTGCTCTTGAAGGTGAGGGTAATGACCAGAGGAGAGTCATTTTCATTAGGTGCTGGGGATACCGAAATGTACAAGAACTGCAATGGCTCTTCTCTCACAAAGCCCACAGTCTAGTGGGAGAGACAGACATTAAACAGGCAATTACAGGGACAACAGAGTTGGAAAATAGACATAACAGTGCCAACCTTTTAAGGATCTTCTGATGATTAAATGAGGTAAGCCAGGTAAAGTATTTAACACAGAACCTGGCATAGAGTGAGCCCTCTGGAAATGATAACTATTCTTGCTTTTGTGAGGGAAGTTAACATGCAGGGCATTAAGGAAGTGAAGACTAAAGGGATTTACTTCCAGGGCTAGGAAGCAGCAAAGATCGCCTGAAGAAATGACACAAAGATCTGAAGAACGTTTAGAGAGGGAGGGAGGGAGGTGGAGAAACGGCAACTCCACTGCTGCTCAGGGTCACGGTTTTATAGCCTACAAAGCCTTTGGCTTCCCTCATCTGGTTGGATCTTCAAAGCAACATAATAGACCCATGTCCGGAGTTAATATATACATTTTACACACGGGGAAAGTGTGACAGAGAGGGGGAAAGGACCTGTCTAGGGTCACAAAGGAAGGTCCGAAAGCCGGTCTTTCTGGTCTCATTATGTGTGGGAAAAGACAGCAGACACCGCGGGGCGTTTGTTAATTCTGGGTTAGAAACGAGGAACAAAGTTCGCGGGTTGACAGGAGCGAGGCGTCCCTTCCGGAGTAGAGCCCGACAGGTTTCCTTGTAGCTGGCATTGTAATGGTATCCCTCATCTGCTGGGTATCCAGACCCAGATGGTCTTACCTCTCCCGCGGGCGCGAGGGCAGGTTCGTTCAGGGGGCAACCATGCCCGAAGCCTAAGACCAGGGTCTGGGGGAGAGAGATGACCGATCACAGCGAGGGAGCTACGATCCCCCGATCACAGCAAGGGAGCTACGATCCCCCGCGGCCCGGCGCCCTGGTTTCCATAGTAATGGTCGCTCTTCGCGGGGAGAAATCGCAGTGCCGAGTCTGCGGAGAAACCCCCGGCCTCGTCTTCCCGCCCTGGAGCTTCCCCATCCCGACTCACCCGGTTACCCGCCCCACGATCCTGCGGGGCCCACAGCAGCCTTAACCGAGAAGAAGTAGGGTTGGCTCGGCGCTCTCAGCCCACGCCGCCCACCGAGCTCGTCTCCATGGCAATGCGCCAGACCGCACAACGGCAGCCGCCGAGGGACAATCGTGCTGCGCTCGCGGCCTTCCGGGCACAGCGCGCGCACCGTCCTCCTGGTCCCGCCCCCCTCGCTCGTCTCGGAAACTGCGAGGCGGGCTCAGCCCACTGCGTCTGCGCAACAGCTCACTCCACGTCGGCGCGCGCCCGCCGAGCATGGCTGCCTTCCCCGCAAGTCTGCCTCCGCCGTCCCCTAGTGAGGAGAACGCGGCTACCCAGCAGCACAGGCCCTCGGTCACATGGAACTTAACCTCGCCCATGAGTAAAACGGCCACCGCCAGGTCGAGCACCAGTACCGCCATTTATCCGGCCTCAATCGTTCTCCGGCGCCATAGGCTCGGCAGCAGCCCCGAAATCAACTTAGGGACCCAGCCGCAGATCTGCTTCCTGCAGCCGCGGACCTCGCAGCCGCTAGTGCTCTTCAGGTGCGGTCGGGTGCCCAGAGCGTTGGTCAGACACCGTGGCCCTTGAGGGAGCGCAAACTCCCTCAGAACCGCGCTCCCTCGGCCGGCCCCAGAGATCCTGGCTTTGTCACTCCCTGAGCCCGGCTGTTTCCTAGACCCCAGGAGAGTCTTGATTCCTCACAGACCCGGGACCCGCTCCTTCCCAGTCCAGCTCTTCTCAACGCCAGGAGCCCGAATCCCCTCAGCCCAGACTCCAAGGAGAAACAGGGAATCCCAACTCCAACCCACAGACCCACCGAATCGTCCCAGCTCTGTAGTCTCCCTGGGGTGATATCGTGTAGCCCGGGGGGTCCCCAGCGCTCTTTGGGCTGAGCCTTGAACTTCTTTAGAGCCTGATGAGGCGTAGGTCCTCTCAAGCCTGACACCCCTCTCCTCAGCTTCTACGTTCCCCAGTGGCCCTGGGAAAACCCCCAGTTCCCTCAGCCTGGCCTCAGTCCCCACGGCCACCTATTTCCCCTCCCCTGCCAGCATTCTCCAGGCGCCCACAGAAGCCTTGCTTTGGAAAACAATTTGGTTCAAAGTGACCTTTTATTACTTGAGAGGAAATATTTCCAGTCACTGCCTTTTTTTCTTCCTTTCGAAGAAGTATTGGTAAATTTGGTGCACCACTGAATGGGCGAAGAGTGTTTTATGTGTCTAAGTATTTTAAGCCTTTTTTTTTTTTCTTTTAAAACACCAGGATTTGGGGAACTTTTGCATGTGAGCATCCTTTTTCATCACCTCATGCCTTTGCTGTCAGGAAAATGTAAACGGGAGATAGCAACCATTTGTTTATTTCTACTACTTTGTGAATATAAAAACATTCATAAAATCATGGTTCCAAATTGGCTGAAATGAATTAGAAAAAAATGTTTTAATTCTTCAAAATGTTTTCTTTTAAAAATTGTCTTTTTTGTCCTATGAAAGTAGTATACACTTATAGAAAAATCAGGTAAGACAGACAAGCAAAATGAATGGCCAGAGACAATCACTGTTAACATTTTGATGTATATTATTCCAGATCCATTAACACATATGTACTATAACATGCTTGCACTTTTTTGGGGGAGGGACGTCACCAAAAAGCTCACTTATTTTTGTAGCCCTCTTTCTCCCCATCCAATACACGATGAATGTCTTTTATTCATAACTGCAGAGTATTTATTGTAGGACCTAATCACAATTTATTCAGTTGCTTCCCTACTGTACATTTAGTTCCCAAATTTTAGAAAGAAAATATGAGCAATTATTTTGAAGTAGGCAAAACCATTTAAAGGTACATAATTGCAAAATCACTTCATGGTGTAACCAGATTATCAAAAAGTGAAAGGAGAACTCAGTGCCTGGTATTATCCATTTTTGACCAATTCCTCATTTTGACCAAATCATTATCTCTAGTTTTGCCTTGCTCCAATTCACTCCACCCTACCCCACCCCACACCATCTTCTACCTCTCACCCTCCAGATTCTCCTCAAATGTTTGTCCATAGTTCCCTTACTTTGACTTGTTTCAAACCCTTTTCTCTTAGAATTCCCCTATTAAGCAACCTAACCTCTGTCCAAACTCTTTACATTTTCTTTTCCCCTGCTTCCTCTGACCCCTCCCCCAAAGATCCCCCTTAGATCTAGGCTCTGGAGCAAGTACCCCCACTTCAGCTCCCCTCAAATTCAGCCCTTTGAACTCTACAATACAACTTCTCCTCTTCTCTAAGACCCCTGCTTCCCATTTTGTCCTGCATTTTCTCCTTAAGATGGCTGCTCCAACAGACAGTTCTGAGTCCTTGTTGACACTTCTCTTGTGGACTGCTCTTTCTACATCCTTCTCAGGACAGCTTTTTTTCTCAGCATTCAAGGGACTACCCTTTTAGTGCACATTTTCCACAAGAAGAAACCTAGGCCTCCTTTGCTTCTCTGACAATTATGACAGAACTGTGCCTCTCCCAAGAAACCTGGGGAGGCCTCAGCTACTATCCCAGGACTCTGTCATATCAGGCCCTTCCCTAGCCCTGGCCCCAGCCATCTCAACCTGTACCACCTTCCTCTGCCCCCTCCAGCTTAATGAATTCCAGTGAAGCAGCCGTGACAAAATTTTTACCCAAGAGCCAGTTATCTCGGGTGATTATTCGTGACAACCTCAGTGCACAACGAATCTATGAGATGGAGGTAAAGTCCTCACAAGCTTTTGTGTTAGAGGGTGTTAGTGGCTTGACCCAGGTTCATGTCACTCTCCCTTACACCTTAGGGGAGTTCACAGGTCTTAGAGGTGATAGGGAGCCACCAACATGCACTAATGCAAGTCCCATTTTATAGAGGAGACTGAAACCCTGGGTTACTGATTTGCCCAGGGGGGTCACAGGTGTTCCTATGCTGAGGGAGCCTAGGGGAAGGATTTTATGTTTTGACTCTTGTGGCATTTTTTTCCCCCCTCAAAGCACATTACTTTTCTATTTGGGGAAGCTGAGTGGATTCCTACTATCTCCCATAAAAAGAAGTCTTGGGTCTTAGAGTTTGAAGTGGCATCAACACAGTTTGGTCAGTTTTTTCCCTTGGGGGTTATCCCCCATTTTTCATATGAGAATTGAGGTTCTTCTGCTTTTTGCTTATGGACAACTAGGGTTTGACCTGCTTAGCTGAAAGCCCCCAGAAGAAGAGGGAAACCACAGTGCCATCACTCCACAGACCCTGATTGATGAATTCATTAAGTATATCTTTAGGGCCTGCTTGGGACAGACACTGTTTTGGGGAATGGGAAGAAATGAATGAATATGACAGATTCTGAAAATGTACTCATTTCTTCAAGTAAAGCAGGCAGCCTGGGATTGAGCTGCTGCTTCCTTGACTGTTGAGTTTCCCTCCATGTTCCAGGGCCAAATCTGGATGGGCCCATGGGATTCTGACATTGAAAAGAGGAGGCTTAAGAGATGGTGCCAGGCCCTGCCAGGCGTGGCTCAGCTGTTGAGCATTGACCTACGACCCAGGAGATCTCAGTTTGATTCCAGGTCAGGGCACATGCCTGAGTTGCAGGCTTGATCCCCAGTCAGGAGCGTGCAGGAGGCAGCCAATCGATGACTCTCTCATCATTGATGTTTCAACTCTCTCCCTCTCCCTTCCTCTCTCTCAAATCAATAAAGATATATTTTAAAAAAAGAGAGATGGTGCCAGATTCTCTTAAGGGCCACAGAGACCAAAAGAAAAGTAGAGGCCTGGGTGTTTCTCCCGCTGCTAAACTTCCAGTGGCCTGCTGTACTAGAAACAGGATAGACTTGGAGATGGGCAGGCCAGCTTTGTGTTACCTTGGACAGTCACATTTCCTTCAGTATGCTCTTTTCTCCTTTGTAAAACAGGATCTATTAGGATTCTCTCAATTGTAGGTACAACAAACTGAACTTGAACTAGTTCAAGCAAAATAGAGAACCATGAGTTTACATAATCTAGGATGGGTAGGGCAGGGTCACCAATGTTTGGGATGAAAAAAGCCAGGGGCTCCAACTCTCCCTCTTCATCTCCTTTTCTGCTTCTTTCTGCGTGTTCGCATCATCATCAGGCTAGCTGTCTCTGGGAGCATGGCCACAAGAAACTATGGCCTGTAGCCCAGAAAGGAAATGGAGTGCTTCCTCTGTTTGAGTTAGACAAATCCTAGAGAAGGACTCCAGCTGGCCCAGGTTGGGCTATGGGCCTATCCCTGCACCAATCACTATGGCCAGGTGGTATGGGCTATTCTGACAGGCCCAGGAGGGTCTGGTCCAACCCCTATAACCAGTGCTTGGGGGATGTTGTACCTCTGGCAAGTGGGGTGAGTATCTCTGAGAGACTAACTGAAAACTCCCCCAAGTTTTATATGTACCAGAGGGCTGCGCCATCCTCCAGTTATCCAGAAGTCCTTTTAATGTTGTCTTGAGCCCTTAGTATTTTAGGTACTCAACATCCAGTATGTATTACAGTGGTACCTCGGTTTTCAAACGTCTCTGTTGATGAACATTTAAGTTTACGAACACCGTAAACCTGGAAGTAAATGCTTCGGTTTTGGAACACGCCTCAGAAGTCGAACATGCCCCATGGCTTCTGCTGAGTGCAACATCCTGAGGCCTAGCTGTCGTCTGTTGATCCCTTGGTTTTCAAACATTTCAGAACTCGAACGGTCTTCCAGAACAGATTACATTAGAAAACTGAAGTACCACTGTATTACCCCATTTAATAGTTCAGGAAACCAAAACTCAGAGAGATGAGTAACATCACTAAGGTCACAGAGTGTATCACTGCCGAGTTGCAAACCTGGGCCTGACTGACCGTGGTGTAGGATGATCTCCCATAAGGCAGGGACTTGTTTGTTGACCCAGTGGCTGGCTGAGGGCCCAGCTTGTAGGAACTCAGTGGATTTGAAGCCTGAGTGGCAGCGTGGCAGTGTTTCTGTCTTCTCTGAAAAAGTGATCGCTTTAGGGGAAGAGGCAACTTTGACTAGCCAGTGATTTGTAAGGACCCCAAGGAGGACAGCTAAGGTCTAGTGTTTAGGAATCCCCTGAGCACACTCTGAGAACAATGATGGCAGATATCTCTTCATTTATTGCCACAGTTCTCAACTAGGGACAGTTTTGCCCCTCAGGGGACATTGGCGATGTCTGGAGACATTTTTGGTAGCACAAGTGAGAGTGGGGTGGTATTACTGGCAGTTAGTAGGTAGAGGCCAAGGATGTACAGTACAGCTCCCCACCACAAAGAATTACCTGGCCCCAAGAGTCAGAGTGCCAAGGTTGAGAGACCCTGATCCATAGTAAAAGTCAAGCTCAAGCCTTAGCCAGTTTGACTCGGTGGTTAGAGTGTCGGCCTTCAGACTGAAGGGTCTCAGGTTCGATTCCTGGTCAAGGGCATGTACATTGGTTGCAGGCTCGATCCCTGGCCTCAGAGCCCATATGGGAGGCAACCAATCGATGTGTCTCTCTCACATTGATGTTTCTCTCTCCCCCCTCCCTTCCACTCTCTCTGAAAAGCAATGGAAAAAATATACTCAGGTGGGTATTAAAAAAAAGTCAAGCTCAAGGTGAAATCACTAGCTTAGAGAAGCTAAAAAGCTTGCTCCCAAGGGGATGCACTAGAAAATAGTGATATGAAGCAGCCACTTAACTTCTCAATGGCTGTATCAGCATTATCTCAGGTACATGAGAAAAATATAGATTCCTGGCCCCGATCCAAACCCTACTAAGCAAGACTCTCTGAGGGCTATGTTTTTATCAAGTAACTGAAAAGTTTCTGATGCTCAGCTACTGATTTGAACTATGTCTTTTAGTGTCCATATTTTCTGCCATCCACCCTCCCTCTTTATGCTTTATTCCCAAGATCCACTCAGTCACTAACTCTCTGTGTCAATTATGGCAACATTGACTGGCCTTATGGAGCTCTGCCTTGCTTACACTGTACATATTTTGAGACAATGTCAGTGCTTAGAATCCCCAGGAGAGTTTATTAAAGTGTAGACCCTCAGGATTACCTCCCACCTGGTTCTGTTTCAACATGCCCAACATTTCCCCATCATTCAAAACCCAACCCCCATAAATTAAATAAATAAAAATGTAAAAACCCAAAACAACAACAACAAAAAAACAATCCCCCAATTTTTATGCCAACTCTCCACAAGGCTTTCCTCGCTATCTCCCTTCTTTGAACCCTGCTTTTAAAAGGGATATATCGCTCTCTGCCTTGCTTAGAAATATTTGGGCATGTGGCCCATCTTCCTATCTATGTTGTAATTTCTGTGAAGACATGCAGCTGATTTTTCTTTGCGTCCTCTCTGCAGCTAGCTCACTGCAATAAATAAATGAGCAAGTAAGATAAAGGATGTGCCTTCCCAGAGTGCATCGTCTTGTTGGGGACAGACAAAAATGATGTACTAGAAGAAACAGAGTTCAATGTGATGTAGGAGATGTCACATACAGTATGTGGGAAGCATCAATGAGTAATAGGGACAGGGTGATAGAAGTTAAAGAATGGGGAGGGGAAGGAACAAGGTGCACCTCTTTCTGACCAGTCTTCATATAGAGGCGTTGAGGCCAAAATCAGGGTCCTAGGCTGCAAACTCTCAGAAGGTACCATAGGAGTTATCTAGCTCAATGCCCACATTTTACAATTAGGGAAACTAAGAGTCCCTGTGAGTAAAATTATTTATGGAATATTGGGCCCAGCTGGCACATTTTTCACCCCCATATCAGCAACATAGATGCCTCTCTTGTTATGAAGTAGTTTCTTCATCCTAACCTCATTTGTTTTTCTGTAAGACGAAAACTTCAGAAAAGACCAAGAAAAAGATGGGCCACTTGTATGACCACCTGAAAAAAAAGTTCATGATGGACCAGCTCAGAAAGCTGGGGCGCTGGAGACAGGAATCCACGAACTTCCGGCAGTACCTGAGCAGCATCCGGGCCTTCCATTCTAAGAAGAAATCCAGACCACCCTAGTCATCGCAGATGATTTGTCCAGGGCCATAACAACACTAGACTGACAGGAGGAGAAGATGTAGAAGCTAGCCAGCCAGTACCACCATGGAACAACAATAAACCGAGACCAGTGAACAGTGGAGCACAAAAATCCTAGCAATTCTAATATTCCTTGCCCTGCCCCATTCATTCCCTCTGTTCTGGTGAAGGAGATCCTGATAGTCCCCTAGCTGCCTGAGTGGAGGAGCTTAATCAAACCAGCTTTCATGGTTAAAGCAAAGATCGATCTTCGGTATCCACGTGTCTGAGGTCAAATGCCAGGCCAAGTGCACTGAGGCAGTGGCTAAGAAGAATTGTCACCCATTCTGGTATGAATTGGCTGTTAGGGAGAGTTAGGCTGGGCTCTCAGAGGTGTGGACGAGAGAGATGTTCACTCGGGAAGTGGAAGAGTGGAGCACAGGAGTCTGGACCACTGCCCATTAGCTGTGAAAAGTTGTCCTCAGTTTTGCCCTCAGGAAATCTTTGTGGAATATCTTTTGTGTCTGAAGAACTGTGCTGATGGCAGGGGACAGGCGAATGATACTCTCTTTTAAAGGGATCAACTATTTTTGAGCATACCTTTAATTTTTGCTGAAAATACACTTCATTTCCTCCCCACCATCACCAAATGCATGTCACTGCTTTAGAGTTACTTAGAAAAACTTCTTAGTTTAAAAACCTTGCTGGGTACCCAGTGGGCCTTGTTCCTTCCCTCTTCATAATTTCTCCATGACCTGGAACAAAAGGAGGGAACTTCTATTTACTGAGCACTTGCTACATGCAAGGTATTTTATATCCTACCTCATTCAGTCCTCACAACAACACTTGTCAGGTATCATGCACATCTTTCAGGTGAGAAAACCAAGGCACAGAGAGGCTAAGAAACATGCTCAGAGTCACTAGGTTTGAACCAGTCACCCTGGTGATCCTCAGCTTTACTGTGAGCACTGAAAACAACTTGAGCCATTTTTGGTCACAGGAACTGCTCTGAGGGATGTCCATGTTTCAGGCCTCCTGTTTATGGCTCTTGCCCCTGACTTTTTCCTATGCTACCTCTGTTGACCGCAGTGGTCATTGACACAGCAGGGAGGAAGTTTCGAGTGAGGACTCATTTCTCTTATCGCAGGTCCGAGCTCCAAGTTGTCAGGTGGGGCAGTGTCTTTGGGACCCCAGCAGGTGGATGTGGAGTAGCCTATCAAAGGGCTAGACAGCCCAGCTGGCATGGCTCAGTGGTTGAGCATCGACCCATGAACCAGGAGATCAGGGCACGTGTGTGGGTGGTGGGCTCCATCCCTTCCTCTCTCTGAAATCAATAAAAACATTTTTTAAAAAAGGGGAGCTAGGCAGCTGGAATTATAGAGGCAGCTGGTCAAGTAGCAGGGGAGGTAGGTAGCTGCTCCAGTTGCAGCTAAGAGTGATCCTAGTGTTCTTACATATCTGCCCCATGTATCCGTCCATCCATCCATCCATCCATCCATCCATCCATCCATCCATCCACTTACCTATACATTTGTCTATACGTCCCTTCAGCACACAAACAGAACATGAAGGTGGAGGAAATGATTTTCTTGTTTGCTGTAACACCTCTCACTTTTCCTGATCAGTGTGGGTGGAAGTGGGGTGACCTGCCAACAGGGAGTATCTCTGACCTTGGGAAAGTTACGTCTCCACTCTGAGAGTTTGGGGAGGTGGAAAAACCTTAGAGCTGCCTTGTCCAGGTCACCTCTCATATTTCACCAAAGGATGACTGAAGCAGGGATTGGGGAATTGACTTGCCACCGTCAGATAAGGAATTGGTAGATTTGGGACTGCATCCCAGGGCGCTGTGACTTATTTGTAAAGTAGGAATGGGAATCCTGGTTCTCCTCACCTCCTTACCATGAGGTCAGTTGTGGGAAAGCGCCTTGAGAAGTGAGGTCATAAGCGAGAACACCCTAGAGGTGTAACACAGACCTTTGGCTGCTGGGCCAGGACAGATCCCACAGTGACCACAAGGGGTCAGCAGATGTTTGTGTGCTCAGCTAGGATCTGCTGGAAGGCAGATGCCTGTGTGTCCTGGGTCTGGGAGGGAGGCCAAATCATTTAACTCCTAGGGACCCTGAACACAAACAACAAGCAGGGACACATCCTGGCCCACCCCTTGTTGAATCAGGAAGCGTTACTCTGGGTATATACAATTTAGAACTTAGTCCAACTGCTGACTTTGGAACTCTGCAGGACTGGGGGCAGAGCCAGCACAGGCCTTGAACCGGGATCCCCTACCTCCCCCAGTAACTTTTCTCTGGGCTTCAGCTCTCCTACCTGCAACTGGGGTGGGTGCTGGTGGCTGATTTCCTTCCAGTTCTCAGAACCCAAGATGTGGCACAGAACTTTGCACACATAATGCTCCATAAATATCTGCTGAGTGGATGGAAACAACTCCTGCTCTGAGCAAAGCCAGTAAAATCCAGGCTTATACAAAATGATAATTTGGGGTTGAGTTTTGCTTTACTAATGTATCACTTGACAAGATGACTCCTGATGGAATTCCTTTGGCCAATCTGCTAATTGGGAGCATTTCAAATATTCTTTCATCAAATCACTGTCATTCAAATACACGTCCCACTGGGTTGAGTTGGGTCTTTCAGTTGCTGGAAGTACCCCAACCCAGAAGCTTTGTGTGATGGTCTTTCTCAGTTCTCCCTGTGGCTCCCACTCTGGCAGATTACTTAGACCTGTCATGAATTTATTGCAGGAGTCAAAACATATCATTAAGCATTTATTTGCTACTTGGCTTCCCTCCTCGGGGGTTGCAAACACATCTAGCACAAACAGCAGGCACTGAGTTTTTTCCATTGTTGCGGCTGTCAGCCACGAGTGTGTCAACCTTGGTCTCATCTCTTTCTTCTCTGGCCTCTGTTTAATTCATTTCACCAAACTTTTCACAGAGCATTCTTTAGTTTAATAACTAGAGAATATTTACTGAGCACCTACTATGCCAAATGTGCTTTACATACATGTTTTGATTACTTTTAACCTGTGAGGTAAGGATTATTATTCTCATTTTACAAATGAGCAAGAGAAAGCTCAGTGAGGTAGCTGAAGGTCCCACAGCTAAAGAGTGACTGGGCTAGGGCTTCCATATTAGATTTGACTCCCAAAGCCCAAGATTTCCCCTTCATGTCACTGTCCATCAACATGTGGTCCATGATCCACCCACATCAGAAATGCCTAGGGTACTCATTAAAATGCACGCTCCTGGCTTCCACCTCAGACCTACTGACTCAGAATCCCAGGGAGAAGGGGATGGAAACTAAATTTCTAATAAGTTTCCCCAGAATGATTTTAAACATTTTTTTTTTTTTTAAAGCCTGCAACCCAGGCATGTGCCCTCACTGGGAATCAAACTGTGATCTCCGGGATCCTAAGTTGACGCTCAACAGCTGAGCCACGCCCGGCCATGCCTAAACATTTTTTAAATAGTTCCAAGGTTCAAAAGGGTATAAGTGGAAAGCAAACACCCCACTCCATTCCCCAGTTGCCCAGTTCTCTTCTACCTTGCACCCAGATACAATCGCTTTTTCTTGGGGTGTTTGAGGACCACCTTTATACTTATGGGACAGACCAAGGTGGGCGGGTCTGAGATTCCAAAGCTCAAAGCAAAACTGCAGGTAAGACCACATTCAGGGGCAGGTGCCCCAGGAAGGGGTCCAAAGTCACCAGCAAAGATGTCAGGGACTTCTGCTTAGGGGAGTATCTGTACCTCCTAAGATACTCTTGAATCTAGAATCTCCCAGTCTTTTCAGCTCCTGCCATCACTTCATGTGGGAGGCTGGTCCCTGTGTTAGTGGTGGAAAAATGGCACCAGGTGTTAACCTGAGTTCAGCAACCTCAGTCCTTTAGTTCTGGCTAAGAGGAAGTTTACTTAGCAAGTCAAAGAGGTGGAAGAAGTGGGCCATAAAAGGAATAGGCCCTTGAAGCTTCAGGGAAAGAGAGGAAGGGAGGGAGAAAGGGAGGGATAGAAGGAGAGGAAGAGGGAGAGGAAGAGAGAGGGAGGGAGAGACATACGGAGATTGCACAAGCACACCCTGGGGAAATAAGGGGGGTGGGGCAAGGCATGCTTTTTTATCTGAGGTCTCTGGAGGATCTCAGTAGAGTATTCATCAGCTATCCCCCCCCCCCC